AAACACTGGCAGGGTTTTGAACTCTGGGCAACAGATCAGTCAGTAGTTGGAGCTGCGCACTTCATCACTCCGCAAGCTGCTCTTCTCTCTGCTTAGCTGGTAGAGGACACAATTTATGTGAGGCTTCTTCCCCAGTTTCAGGACTAGCACAAAAGTAATTAATTAACACTAAACTTATTGTGTCTATATTTGAAAAACATGGGTTGAGAACCTTCCTGATAAGGAAATTCGCTGCATGTGAACTCAAAGAATGGAAATCTAAATCTTTGTTACTTTCAATTTCTGTTTAAAAATATGTTTCCAGTCTTCAAGGCTTACATTATCTTCCAAACCACCAACCAACATGATGCTGCCTTCTGGATATCGTAGGCAACTTCAGTGCCTTCCAATGATGCAGTTTTCCATGAGCTGAGTGGGTTTCTACCTCAGCATTTTAGCTTGGACCAGGAGGTTGCTCTTGAAGCAAATATCCCAATTGTTCACTCTTACTGTGCTTTGGTTTGCATAGTAGAGCAAACTGGATTTGTTTTGGATAAGACTACAATGTAAGATGCACAAGGAACACTACTGGACTAGTCTGAATATAAACCATGAAAACACAGTACAGGTGTTTGGTCATGAGCACCAATACTGCCCTTTGCATTGCTCCTGTTTGCTGTGCTGTTTGCCACTGTATCTCATGATTTTTACTCCAAAATTCCTCCCTAACCTGAATCCTGAGAAGACATGTACAGCTATACCTAAACTGGTCATTTAAAGCTGGACTAACTTAAGCACTGTATGAAATATCTATAAACAAACTGATAAATATTTATAAACAATCTGATACATTCTAGCTGCAATGGAGACACAGAAGCTCTGCAGTAGCTGCCCTGGGCTAACACTCCATTCCACTTACTGTGAGAAAATTGTTAGTGGTGTTCTTCTGATAATCAGGACAGCAATGAAGAGCAGGGGAGATGAACTGTGGAGGGTGACTGGTAATATGACTGATTTTACACACTAAAAAAGCTGATTCCCTGAATGCATTTCGGGACATATAATCATATTTGTCTAGGTAGTGATTTTAACATCAGGGAAAAAAGAGGGGTGGAAATATATACCTCTGTAGCAATCTCAAGCCTATGTAGATCAGTCAGAGATCTGTGCCAATACCTTCAAGTTTAAAAATACACTTCAAGGTAATAGGGAAGAAGCAGCACTTAACTGAGCTTTAGCGTGTTATTTGTCCAGCATCACGTATATAGCAGGAAGGGAGGATTAGAAATAAGACTTTTACTGGGGAGAGACTGATTTTTGCCTCACCTCATATTAGCCTCTAGACAGCAGCAGCATTAGATTCCAGTGAGTCTTTCTGCCACAAAACAGAAACTTCTCCAAGTTCTATGCCTATTCAGGATCAATTAACAGTAATGAAAGGGAGAACTTATTTCTATATCCCTCAACTGTCTGAAACTTTAGTTGTACCACAAACTTTTCTTCCATTCCTCATTACCTTCCAATATTAGGCATGTTCATGAGTTATCTCTGAAAAGAGAAACACCTAAAATACAGGTGTGGCAACCACATGAAGCATTACTCTGCTCTGTCATTTACCTTCCTCACCAATATTTTACTTCTCTTTTATTGTGCTGCACTACACAGAGCCTCTACATATTATATTCAAAGGTTGATAAGACAGCTAAGAATTTCAGGTTCTACTGTTGGGAAATATGAACAATAAAAACACAGAAGAAAATTAGTTGTTGTATCTAGGTACAACCAGTGGGCGATTTCTATATAGTTATCTTTAAAAACGATTAAATGCGTTAGCCTTAAATAACCACCAGAAAATGCTGACTCATATTAGCTGTGGTTCTACTTTGCAAGCATTCATTTCCCGAAACCAAAACTTTTAAAATGGTGTTGCAGTAATTCAGACAAATTTACATCTGAAAACTGATGTACAGTAATTGCACGTACCGTCACATTAATCATATTAATATTTTAAGTGCATTTAAATAACTAGAACAGACAGGAGGAATGAAAAGTAGAACAAAAGTCTATTTCTTCAAAATATAATAAATTCCACAGGAAGCTAAAGTGTCATTAATCAATGAAAGTAAAGAAATTACAGCAACTGGGCCACAGCAATCTCAATTTCCTTCTAGAACAATATGAAACAAACATGCTAAAGGGTATTTTGTACTTCTCTTTTGGAAAAGGAGTGTGAAAAATATGTTTGTAAAACACATGCTCCTAAATTGTGATTCATCTCCTACATTTAACCTGGGAGTGCTTCCTCGCTAGTTCTGTTGTAACTCATTTTCTGTGTAACTACTGCAATCCACATCACTATTACAGCTCTAACAATATGTTATCTTGGGTTTTTTCCTTGCTTGGTTGTTTTAGGGCTTAGCTGGTTTTGGGTTTGGGTTTTTCTGGTGGTTGATGGGTGTTTTGTTTTGTTTTAAATTGGCTTTCCTGCATGAACTGAAACATGGTCATATGAAAGTTGAAATTATGGATTTTGTTACTGTAATTAATCTAGGATTCCTTTTTTTTTCCCCAGCAACACAGATAAAGACACTCTTCTCATTAAATAATAGCTTTCTAATGTAGGTCAAGGATTCTGTCTGTCTAATGAGACATTTAAAGCAACAAAAACAGTTTCCAAAATGCACTTACAGAAACCTTACAATGTTTCCTACCACATGGAAAATAAATTATTTCAATCCAAGTTTCTGAAATTAAGGAATTTGCTAAATTAAAACAAATTCCAAAGTTTATTTCTCTCTTACAGGCTGGATTAATCTGCCAAAAAGCAATTCTCAGGGTTAAAGTTTTCAATGACTAGTAAAAATATGGGTTGGGTTTTTTTTTTGCCTTGTTTAAATGTTAACTGCTGGGTAGAAGAGATTACAGGGCTCTTGTCTGTCATCACTGATCAAAGTTGTTATTTTGGTGTCCTCGCAAACTTAAGGAAATTTTAAGTTTTGTAGCAAGTGCACTTTCCTTTCAGGAAAGCTGTCCAGAAAATGGAAGAAAATGCATGCAATAGCCTCATCAGCTTTACCCAATAAACTTGAAGTTGATATAATTGAACCATCACCTCAATAAACATCTGGGCATTTACCTTAACCTTCTGAGAAGCTGGGTGAATGGAGAAAGAGGGACACAAATTAAGGTGACCTAGAAATCTCCAGGAGTTTTCGCAGGAATTTTCCTAGGAAACCAGGACTTATACTTCTGGTCCAATGACAGCAAATCATGTCGTCTACCCTTTAATTTTACCACAGGGTCACCTTCCATCTCTCTTGTAACTACTTCTTACACACAGTTACAATTCTCTCTATTTTACCTGGAGAAATCTAGTCAATTGTTTGGGATTGAGCAATTTCCATAACAATGCTTACCCAGTCACTCAAGATTTTGCTAGTTCACACTGATTAGAAAGGTCAGATTCTGTAAACAGTTTAAGTATGTGCAAGTCTTAAGATCTGAGATACCTGATAAAAATTACAGCTTCAGTGATAATTTGTTTCAGACATCTCAGTTTCCAAATTAAACACGAAAGGAGCCGAGTGCCCTAAAAAAGATACATGCTTTGTTTCTCTTTTTCAATGGAATACTAATATATAGCACTGTCTAGTACCTTGTGGAATAACTGAATGATTTTAATTTTAATTTAATTTGGACATAAAGACTTACTCTGCCCACAGGGCTCATTGGATGAGCAGCATAATCTGATGTCAGATTATAGTTAGTTGCTTCACATATCATGCTTACTGGTCGCTCCTTCTTTTCTTCAGATGTCATTGCTGCAGCAGTCCTGAAAATAGAATATGTAATAGCACTAGAACATGCTGTGTTTGCAGACTGCTATTAAAAAGCACCCCTAGATGTAGCCTAATACAGCCTGTGTCCTACTTTTCCAATTTGAAAGCAATTCCCACTTCATTGTAAAGTTACCTGCATTGTGTTTGAAACTTCAATCTATTATAGATTAATTTTAAGACATTGTTTTAAAATAGGATTTCTCTATTAGCTTAAGGTGTTGGTGGGA